CATAACAGCAGCATAGATTTCAAAAGCTTCATACGATGGCAGTTTCAGTATCGGCTTTAGAATGAATAAAAAACAATAGCTTTGCACTTTCAACGCAATAACTAAGGCAGTTAACATGTAAATTACATTACTCGATTCACCGACTAAAGATCAATCGATGTTTTAAAAGAAAAAGGATGTTTCAAATAAGAGGCATACTTTTGAAAATACTTTCAAATTCAATGAACGTTTATATAAGATAATAGTTTAAAACCAGATATAAAGATCAGGGTAGTTACCCAAGCAAGTCATTGACTTTTCCACACGATAAACAACAAAAGGTCCCTTCCATTCCAGCCCGCAGTCCTCTAGAAATCCCAGATTTTTCATGCTTCAATGCACATTCAAGATGGCATGACATACCACATGAAGTGTCTTGAAATGGTGGGTCAGAGCTGCAACTTAACCATAGACTAGGATCCTTATTATCATCATACTGATAACAAATGCAGCATGAACACCTCTTGCAAAATCTATCCTCTTGATTTAAGGTAGCTTTGCATGCCGAATTTCTGCAGTATACTGCAATATTTGAGTCGCTCCTAGTGTTACTGATTGGAATATGGTTTGCAGGAACAGGTGGGCGTGCTGGCTGATCAATTTTTCTTTGCCTTTTGGTAATCTTTGGATAAACACAGGGAGAAGACTGACTGTCAAGATCTGTTACATCCTCAGATGACCCTGATTTCTTTTCACTAACAATTTTCAGAAGGTTCTCAATTATTTTCAGTTTTGTTAATCCAGTATATTTCCTCTCTTTCCCCATCTCTGCACATAGGATCTCTAAAATCTCATGACGACTCCAGGACTGAAGCAGATCAGAAGCATTTGGCTGATCCGATATTTCATAGACCAAATTCCTTTTCTCCTCCATACTCATCTTACTGTACCTTGATGGATCGTGAGCAGTTCCTAATACCAACATACACGAGGATGCACGTCAGAGTTAAAACAAAACATAAAATCAAACGTCAAAAAGGTACCAGGTGGCGTCCTGTTTGGGTTGAATCAGATTGGGTTTGACTTCGTATAAGATGAACAATCATGGATTAGTAAAACTAATTTTGGGTGAACAATACCGATTCAAATTTAAGTTTCCACTCAATAACTTTGGAGGGTTTTTCAATTCTAACGTCTTCCAGAAAAAAATTGTTTCAAATCCTTGGATCAATATTTTCAGTAAAATAAAACATATACATGATTCCTTAAAATACTACAATTTTTTCAACAAAAAGAAAAAAAAAAAAAAAAACAAGAACAAATGACTCACAACAACCTGAAGTCTACCCAACCTAAGTACTATATGGTTGAATTGAGTCAGGTTGAGTCCAAAACACAACCCGTTTGAACTACCATATAGCCTTAGCTTTGAAGTTTGGATCCTTTCTAAGACCTCCTGTGATTGAAAATCAACAGTGCAATCAAACAAAATGAACAGTTCTCATGCAATTATTGACTGCTCGCCAAATTAATCTTCCAAGAAGTAAGAGTACTCAAATAATTGGACGTGGATGCGATCCACACAACTGTCAACGACCCGAGTGGGTAAAGAATGAGCAGAACTGGAAAACTCGAACAGGATTGTCAAAGAGATCATCCAGGCAACGCCCATCAGCTATCGACACACACTAAATTATAATCCATAAATTCAAGAAATAAAAAAAATGGTCGGCACAAATTTCTGAAGAGCAGCGTCATTATTAAATGTGGTCTCTGAAGTTCCACACCAATGCTGTAAAACAAGTAGATGGAACCAATTCAACCAAAACCACTAAAACCTCACTACCACAATTTACAGGTGGGGCATGGAAGGAAGCCCATCAAGAAGAACAACAAAAATTAGATTACGATATCAGCAGAAGTAAAAGGTAAAATTAAGAATCCAAGTTCAAGACTAGTAGAAAGATAATTTAATAAAGAAACCCCGATGTGGAGGGGGAGAAGGAAATGAAAGACTCAAAAACGAAATGGATTAGGCGGATTACCCTCAGATGAAGAATCGGAAGCCATAATGAATCCACGACATTACCACCAAAAGCGAACAAATAGGAACCTGCAAGCATGAAATCTGGAAGGATGATAAAACCGTGGAAGCGGAGAAAAATAAGAGAAATGGATGATGAAGGAGAGAAGGGAAAAGAGTACCAAGAAACAGCAGGAAATTGAAGGTGGATGAAGGAATCCATGGATTGGGAGGAAATTTGCAGAGATTGGTGGAGGATAGGATACGAAGTTGAGAGATTTTGAGAGAGAAAGAGGGAAAAGCAAAGAATTTCGCCCACCTGTCGCGTCGAAGCGTTGGGGAAGAGACTCTGATTCGATCAAATCAAATGAATGAAGAATAGTATAGCCGCTCTCTCTCCATTACAAATGCGGCTGCATGATTTTTTTCCTTTTTTTTTTTTTTTTTTTTTTTTTTTTTTCTTTTTNTCTTCTTATTTTAATAATTATATTTTATGCTTTATAAACTTTATCCGATTAAGCACGCCATTTCAAAAATTATAAAATTAAATTAAAATTTCAAATGTCTTCAACAAAACAGCCTATCAGATTTTTATTATTTTTAAAGACTCCATTATCTTTTTCTTTATTATCAATAAATTAATTGATTAATTATAGTTTAAATATGGCAAATAAAACAACACAACCATAGAAGTCAAATAAAATAATTTTGTAGTTTTATAGTGATTTCGACCTAATAAAAGTAGATATCTTAATGTCACGTACACACATTTAAAAGAATAATAAGAATAATGAAGATTTAATTCATTAATTAATTTTTTTATAAAATAAAAATGGGGTTTGGTGAATGATAGTGCTCCCCATGCCATGCCTAGCTGCCTATAATTGGCCTGTGACAGTGCCACTCTTATTGGACCAACCATTATAGTTATTATAGTTGGTAGGTTTATTGATGTTATGACATGTAATAATTTTACATAAATAAAAACATTTTCCGCTCTTTTTTTTTATTATTTTATTTTATTCCAAATCAAACACTTTTAATTGTCTTTTCATTATTTTCCATCTTACCCATTATTCCTTCACATACATATTAAAGAATATTGGGCTACAACTCCTAACAACATATAAAAACATTTTTTTTAATTTTTCTTTTTATTAAAAAAGTAATTCCATTAAACTAATTAATAAAACTTGACATGACATTTTTATTAAAATTGAAAGGTTAACGTGACATTATTTGAAATACTATTATTCGTGTATATCGACTAACAACCAATGTGTAAAAGATGGTTTTATAGATAATAATATAAATAATGATAAGGACAAAATTCTAAGTTAAAAATGAATCTTAATCCTTGTCCTTTTTTTTATGATCTTTGTATTTAATTTATTTTAAAAATAAATGAATTAACTGAAAAAGATACAATTTTAAAATTTAAGGATTACTTTTGGATAGAGCTTATGATGCGGAATCATATTTTAGCCTTTCAGACGAATATATACATTTTAAAAAAAAATTAAATCAACTGTAGATAGAAAGTATTTTAAATGAGTGTAAATTTTAGATCTCAAGTGTGGGAATGGCTGAAACTTGTCCCCTGGGTTTCATTAACATTATTAATTACTTGAATTTTAAGCCTAATTAAGTAATATAGAAGTCGGACGGTGCACGGCGGCGCGGCATGTGATGTTGTAAGTCCATCAATTAAAAAGAATATTAAGTTAATTATCATTTTACTTTGTGACTTTTTAAATATATGTTTTTTAACTTTTAATTTGGTAAAAAATGAATTAATAATTTATCTAGATATAAAATTTAAATGTATATTTACTTGAATTCTAAAAAATTTAGAAGATATGTATATTTAAAAAAAAAACATATTATTAATTTTGTTAATGACCTATTAAACACAAAATTATATAAAAATAAAAAATAAATTAAACGGGTTAGACATAAAATTGTTTTAAAGATTCGAAAGTCACTTTCTAAAATCAAAATACCTATTACATACAAAATAAAAAAAAATAAAAAAAATTTAATAATTGATCATATATTTATTTGTTTATTTATGGTTCCAAATTCAATCATTGTTGGAGTCCAAAAAAAACACAAATAATATGTTAGTGGGGAATTATTATATCCAACGTGGTCCAAAGCTGCAACCAACAGAGGACTAAAAAACTTTTACGTATTCCATGTGGATATATTTGTTTCTTTCATTATGGGAAATGTTTAAAAATAAAATAACCAAAAAAATATATACTTTTTATACTACTTTATTCCGTTCTTCTATTATCATATTCCATTCCTGTCATATCGAAACAGATTTGTATTCGTAGTCTTGATGCTTATAGCAAGAGAAAATATACAGAAAGAAAATAAATATTCACGAGAAATTAGGATACATAAAATAATAATGATAATAAGTTAGGGAGAGAAATTAGCAACGAGAAGCATTTCAAAAAAGAATATTTATCAATGAGAAATATCTTGTATGAGGAAAGGTTGGTTAGAGAAAATGTGTAGAGAGAGAAGCAAGTTAAAAATATATATAATACTCGCCTAAATTGCTTGGAATTCTTCCAAATATATTTTCACAACAAGAAAAATAAGCATATATTATACGAAATCAATTATTTCTCATTTCGACCCTCTATCCAGGCCCCCTCGAACTTTTAATTTGCTCATGTCACCTGTGCTAATTAAGCAGAACCCTAATTTAATTTGTAGAACCCTGGGCATTAAAATTTAAGCCAAATTTTACGTGAAACTGATCCGACCCGAATTGAGTCGGGTCAGTTTACTCTTGGGAAAAATCCAAGAGTCGAGCTAGGTTGGATTTGCATAAAATATAACCGGGCCCGACACATTTACACCCTGAAGAGTGAACAGAAAAAAGGGGATTGGCAGAGAGTTCGGCGGGGAGTGTTTGAATTTGTGTTTCTGGTTGCCTTTTCTCAGTGTTAATCATGTGAAGTTGAGGTTAAATTCCAGAGAGAGAGAGAGAAGATAAATGGGAACTTGAGAGAACAATTATTTGTCACGGTCAAAGTAAGTATAAAAAGTTAATGGAACTTGAGATAATAATGTTTCTTACGGCAGGAAATAAAACTTGCCTTCAATTCATTAGTAACGCCATAATAGAGACGTCAACCGTTGGCGGTTGATTTGAAGTGGTAATCATCAGTTGTTGAGTAGATTAAGCCTTCCTCTTCTAGATTTTTCATCGCCGGCCTGCAAAACAATAAAGCCAAATGGTATATTAAGTTATAACCCTACTTGCAAGATCAGTGCTCTTATGTCAAGTAGAGGTGAGAGATAGAGAATACATGAGCTTCTCTAGTGGAACTTTGAGATGTTGAGCAATCACATCACGGTGTGCGCCCCTCTCAGTACTGAACACAAGAAATATAAATATATATATATATATATATATATATATATATATATACATTCTAAATAAATTAAATCTAAGAAATCAATGAACGGGAAAAAAAAAAAAAAAAAAAAACAGTGAAGGCACTCACTCGCATGAAGGAAGTTGCAAGAAATCTAAGACCATTTGCTCAAGGTTCTTCCAACCATCACCACCTGCTTGACCAGTGTACTGAAAAAAGATAATTAGAAGGATGAACAAACAAACCGCAGCCCATATTATGTGAACTGAACCAGGATCTTACTTGATTTGACATGGGAGTTTGATATCCTCTCACAGGCGTATTAGATAAATTTGCCATCTGTGGCTGAGGAGTCATGCTACTACTTTGTTGCTTCTATCAGCAGCACAACATAAACAATAACCCAAAAGGAGAAGCATGTAAGACAAGAGATATTACTTTTCAGCCAATCAAGACATCAACAGAAAATTTGAAACAGCTTGATTGATACCCGTAATCTGGTGTTGTAAAAATGAACATATATGGATTCGATGAAGTGACTTGTGATCTCATTATAGTCCGTCACAGGCCTGGAAGCCAAATATCTTATATCAAAATCCCCACGCAGCAAAAATCATGTACATAAGTTACAGAGAACAAGCACCGCAATAATTTAATTTGGTGGAAAAACAGTGCTCATGAAATGCCTCATCTCAATTCAATTGCTAAAAGTATAAATATACTAATATTCAGTGTAGTTCGAAAAAGTGCGTTAATGCAGTTTATGACTCACAACACAAATCCCTCAGAAATAACAAAGCCAAGAAATCCCTGAAAAGAACCGAGGGGAAACTATACAGTACCTGATAGAAAAGACATTCAACGTTCTTTTACCCTGGAAGCTTTTTAAGTGGCCATGGACCCGAACGTACATGCCATCCCTGAAGCACGAGAATTTTTAAATGACATGAGACAGAAGGGGATAAATTTCAGAGATGGCTTGATGCATCACTTGGTCCAAATAAGCAGAGTCCTCCCCCAAATGATCCATAACACTCCAGATTTAATTTCAGGTTAAACAGGAAAAATAATCCAGAAGAGCCACAAGAAACATTTAAATGATTGACAATTGTAACTTCATGGAGATCTCTTAGGTTTTTAATTATCGTTTCCTCCTGCAAACCTCAACCAACAGCACATAAACTAGAAACATGAAGAATCACACTTTTATATTGAAAAACTTGCAACGAAGTGGGATTCAGCAAACAAACGCAAAAATCAGAGTAGAAACTAGAAAGACAATAACAAATATCCATCTATTCGAGAGAGCTGGGATCTCTCCTCCCAAGCGACAACATGTCACAAAAATCCACAACTCCCTGTCTTCCTTCCTCCCCCTACAAAAACCAACCAGCCACCTTTTTGGTTCCAAGCACGATTCATTTTCCATCAATACTTGTTAGCTCAATAGGATTGAGATAAATATGAAGTATTTGTATGCCCTATAGTAGCATCGGCTACAGTTATATAGTTCATTTAGCTGGAAAAAGCAGTCTACATTTTGCAGGAAAAGGAAAATTAGACTGTTCAAACTTAATCATCCCATGGATCGAAAACAATATATAAAACCCCCGTACTATAAGACAGAACAAGGAACTGCACATGCATACAAATAAGACTGCTGGTTTAGTCCTAACCCCACAGACATACTCATAAAGATCTATCCAGACCACAAAGTGAGGTGTAGTGCAGTTTTGCTAGATTAAATCATGTTTAACCAGATTTAATTAAGCTTACTTGAATCCTGATATTTGCGTGCGGAGAGTCCGAATTGCTTAATTCAAAACAGTCATTTTACAAATTTTCCTTAGGACTCAATAGATCTCATTTTAATAACAATTAATTAGAGAATTCCTTGAAAAAGTACAGCCATATAAAAAACTTAAGAACTAAGAACTCCCATCAAACTCCATGTCTACAACATGTTGAGTTCCAAAGTTCCATCCGAACTGACGAGATTCTAGGCAAGGCTGAAAAACCAATCATGAAAATTTTAAATGATAACCGCACAAGAAGTATTACAGTTTTGAGGGAATATTTTAAATGCTATTAAGACAGGGTAGAAAGAACATTACAATATTCCCTCAACTTCATTTGAATCTGCAGCTTCATTGACCCTATAGGCACAAAAAACAAAATCAATATCAATGAGATAAGCATCTTAACTTCTTTTCCATCTTGTATAGGTGTGGGTGTATGTGCTGGTGGGGGAAAACAAACCATTTACTACAGTCAATCCGTCCAGTGCCATCATCCAGTGCAAAAGTCACATCAGTAATTCTTCCTGCTCTATTGCGCACCATCCCTACAAGCTTAACCTGAACATAATGCAGCTCAACAACCAACTCTATAAATAAAAATAAACAGAACATACAAGTCCAATAACTAACATTATTAACATCAACACCATCAACAACAAAATTTGATTTATCATCACTAGACAGAAACGCATCATTTATCTGCTTCACTGTTAACGGAAGCAATGCTTGGACGTCTCGATTCTGCAAATTAGACACAAAATATAAGACTTCGTTTTGGCAATCATAAACTTCATTAAGGAGATACAAAATATAAAAACATGTGAATCCAATTCCAATAGACGAAGACAAACAAATTCAACTTAATTTTCGCAATAGTTGTGAGGAGAAGAATCTACCATCCGCCGAAAACATAGGAGCAAAAACACATATACCAACTATATTTCACTTGTACGAACCAAACGTCAAATCCAAAAAAAAAATTATGAACTCAACTAATTAGCACTCAGAGTACGAATCATTTCAAACTGCAGTCGATTTCAGTCGGAAAATACGTTAAAACGCATGTGATAAATCCAAACAGCGGAGACTAGTAATCCACACGGGAATAAAAGGCATTCGAAAGAGAGTTAATATTACATATGGATACAGAACGTACCTTCGCCGGAGATAATGAATGATCAGGGGCCATGGTGGTCTGAGATGGCATAAATCCACCACCAGAGAAGGCAGCGTTGCCATCAAATTGGCTCCCGTACATCGTTCTTCCACTGTAACACTACAAGTGAAGGATACTCAAAGCCTATAAGAGCATCAAGTGACTGATCGCAAACAGATTGAAGAGCAGTCTTCGAAATGAAATTATGTTTTCGTAAAACCTAGAAATACCAGTTCAGCGTCCCTCCCGCCATTTTCAGACCCTTCTTTTATTTAATTGTCAGATATAAAATTACAGAGCACTTTTACTTTCTTACCCTTATGCCTATTTTTAATAAACTACACGGTTCAATAACGAAATTTTCAAATATATATATATATATATATATATATATATATATATATAATATTAATTTATTCACTTTTATTTTTAGCAAAATTTCCCTCTTATTCAAATATATATTTTCTTATATATAAAATTCAAGCCTAGAATTTCAAAGGGGAAACAATATCTATGGATGATAAGTATTAATCAATTAAGCTTTTAATGCAAATCTCCTGAATTAAATTTAAATTAATTAGGGTTAATGATATAACTCACAAGAAGGTGCTTCCTAATAATTTCGTTGGATGGTCACGCTCTGAAACTTCTATTATTAAAATCTCTTATTTACATTTTTCCTTTATAAAATTAACCTTTCATATATCAAAAATTCTTTTTAAAAATGGTAAAAACATAATGATTTTTTTAAAGGCATATAATGTCGATAATAATTTCGGAGCTCCTTTAAAGGCTAATTTCCTCTCAATTAAGGATTTTCGTCAAATCAAATTTTATTATTTGGAATCGAATTAGAAACATTTACGGTCAAAATAAATTAACAATTTTTAATTCAATAATTAAAGGCCATTAATATTAAGTATTATTAATCAAAAGAATATATACAAAAATACGAAAAATGCAAACCCTTTGGCCAATTGAAACAAAAAATCTAAATTAAGCATACACAAATTACATTATTCTGAAGCGTGCGAAATGGAAAGTGACGACGACAAAATTACCAAAAAAAAAAAAAAAAAAAAAAAAAAAAAAAAAAAAAAAAAAAAAAAAAAAAAAAAAAAAAACAAAAAAAAAANAAAAAAAAAAAAAAAAAAAAAAAAAAACTCAATCAGAAGGCCCACCGTAAGAACCCTTTGGCCAGGCTACTGAGTTTAGACCGACGTCGGGCATAGCCATTGGACGACGAAGAACTGGAAGACAGAGAATGAGAAATACAACTCAAAGACGATGGCGTCGTCGACGACGACGACTCGTCGTTTGATTTTCTACAAAACTCACTCTCTTGATTGACATGCGGTCTCGATGAGGAGGAGGATCCAAACGCACCGTTTTTCTTAACCACATTCCTCAGTTTCTTCCTCGGCTTCATCCAAGACCAAATCTTAGCTGCCTCCTGCTGCTTGGGGACTTGGTGAGGAGTTTTCGAGGTGCCATCGACGTAGTTTGGCGGCGGCGGCGGGTGGAGATTTTCGGAGGGTTTGTCCTTGGGCAGGCCGGGCTGTGCTTCCCAAATGAAGGGGATTTGACCGGGCAGGCGACAGGCAGGGAGACGGGCAGAGCGGCCGACTGAGGAGTTTCTAGAGAGGATTTTGTGGACGAATAATTCATTTGCTTGGAGTAATGAAAAGGGGTTTTCAGAGGGATGAAGACGGTGATCGTTTCCCATGGCTTTGTGTGAATTTCGAAACCAAAATGAGAGGCTAAATAAATGAGGGAGTTTGGGGTTTAAATGGGAAGTGAATTAAACTCATTTGGATATCTGTTAAGATCGTTAAGGAAATTTGTATTTCACTTTTTGAATCCCCTGAAATATCTCCCTTTCACATGCCCTCCTAATTTGAATTTTACAATTTTTTTTCTTTCTTTCTTTTTGTAATAATTTGTTTTCTTTATTTTTCTCTCTCATAGATTTATATTCGAAAATTAAAAAAGAGATAGGTTCATGACCCTCTAATTTTCTTAACTATCTTCCCCATTTCATGCTCTCCATAAATGGTACGCCTTAATTGAAGCTATATAAGGAAATATAATAATAAGCTTCCTTTTAATTTATTTAACATTATCCACCTTACAAGTTTCATAAGGAAAATATTTATTTATTTATTTATTTATTTACAAGTTCAATACACGAAATTAAACTCGCCTTCCACTAGCTATTTTAATTGGGTTGATCCTCCACGGACTGCATCCAAACCGCCAGTGCCCGGGAGATTCCGCCGCCGGCGTAGGAGATTTTGCTTTGCATGGAGATCCAAATTTCGAACGGTGGTCATCCAACGGACAAGAATTGTTGATGGACTTGGACGGCTTCCTCCACAGCCGAAGTAACCGAAACTGCGGCTGTTTATTCTGAACCGTGGCCGGCTTCAACAGGCTAAGACTGACCACAACCGGCGGCGGGCGGATGCGCAGTGGAACCGGCTCCACGAGCGGCGGAGTATTCTTGGGGGTCCCCGGTAGCATCTCCCACTGAAACGGAACCCCTTCAGAAGTCCTTCTGTAGTAGTACGATCGAGAGGAACGACCCATAGATGAGTTTCTCGTCGGAAAACTATCCAATGGCAGAACATATCCGCCGTTTGTTTCCTCCTTCATAATTCCCAAATACAAACTTTAGATTCATATAGGGATTATTATATATATGGGCTTTGTGATGTAACGGTGATATTTGAGCTAGAAGAGTTCAGAAAGTGGGATTATGAAAATGAAATGGGGGATTAATATGGGATTAGGGAGTTGATTAATTCATACTTAAACTTTAGGTTAAAATATCTAATCTAATCTTTCGTCGGGTTCGATTTCTTACGACTACTTGTTTAACTATATAAATTAATTAAGATTATAAGGTAATCTTTTTTATAAATCAAATATTTAAATCTTCATAATATATTTTCGTAACATTAAATTAAAGAAAATATCCTTTTTTTTGTTCTTATATTTTTGGATTTCATTTCATTTTAAAAAATCCATCTTAGTTAACTCTAAAATAATTGTAATGACCATCGTTATTTGGATTCTTCTATTGTACCTTTCCACTTGAAATCTTATTCCACTTTCATTATAAAATAATTAATAAAATACCTCAAAGATTAAATTACCCTAAAATACATCACAACCTTGTCGCTTTCTCTGTCATTGGGTGTGACATTTTCCACATTTTATTTTATTTAATTATTTACTCGTCAACAAGCTTGAGCTTACAAAATATTTTTATTTATGCTTTGTATATTAAAGTTACCTAATGTTTACTATATATTATGTTGGGTTAGATATATTAGAGGCGGCTGCACCAACTGGAGATTAAATTATAATAATAATAAAAGGAAAAAGGTAGTTGAAAAGAGATATAGTAATAATTCCCTTAAATAATGCTAATTATATATTTATATTTTTGTCACCCAATTAAAGAAATAAATATTAAAAAAGAAAAAAATCTTATGTGAGCCTTGTAAGAGCCTCTTGTTTATTGGGCCTTGTGAAATTTAACGACTAATGGGCTTAACCCGAGTGCTTTATGTTCGCGATTAATGTGGCCGAAGCATTGCGCCTCCATGGAAGAAGCTAATTGAAAGATCTTTCATCAATCCGGTTTACGAGCCGAAGAGCCCTTTGAACAAATAGCAAAGAATCAAAAGTAGAGGTGCAAGAGAGTGATATAATACTTCCACACCCAAAGTCCTTAACGTCACAAATTAGCGTCTGTTACGTAGGAGAAATCCAACTAAGAGAACTTGTCGCTGAAATGGTTAAACTTTGTGCAGGGACATGATACCTAAACATATAAGAACTCTATGAAAAAAAAGTTTGGATTCCTTACGAGAGTAGAATTTCGATACTTGCATGATTGACACATCAGCACCTACGATCTTTATCTTTATGACATTACTTTCTCTGGGTGTTCCCAAATAAACTTCATGATAGACTCCAACTCAAAAAAAAAAAAAAAAAAAAAAAAAAAAAAAAAAAAAAAAAAAAAAAAAAAAAAAAAAAAAAAAAAACTAAATTTAGTTATTTATAAATGTTGTAGAAAACAGTTAACATTCATTATGAGGAAGAAATTTCCCCCAAATTTATTGAAAGTAGATGGGATTGGTTTGGAATCTGGCTTTAAGGCATGCAACGTTTCTTTACATATTTGTGGACGTCAAGCGCCCTACACGTGCCTCACCAATAATCACATCTAAAAAAACATTAAAAGAAATAAATAAAAACTCCAATTTTATATATATATTCACTCCACCTGTAAATTTATATTTTATCAAACATAAAATTAAAAGTTTAAATCTTACTAAAACTTGACATGTTATGATCTGCCACTTTGAAGAACGGGATACAAATGGTGTATAACTGTCGTGGCCATAAGGTATTAGGTAAGCTAACCGAGAGGGGAGGAGTAATAGTAGTAGAAGTTACAAAATAAAGAAATGATATGGGTTTTGAGACCATTTCAAATTGACCACTTTTTTTTCCCCTCTTTTTTGAAAAGCTGTGAATTGACCAATTTCTCCTTGCGTTGCCTCTTACCAACCCACTTCCCCCACCAACTCCCAGCCAAGTCGCAGCCCAAATCCTCTCGTCCCGCACTTTGACGCTGGCCGCTCCAGCCACAAGTAAAAGAAATATATTATTATTTTTACCATTTTGAAAACTAAGCTAAGAAATTGCATGCTTACCGACTAATAAAATATATTTGGCCAACTTTATTTATTTTATTTTAATTTTCTGATTTCAGATTCAGCGAATTAAAATAATGGTATGAATTTGATTATTTGGGAAATTTTGAATGATTTTTTATCTTTCACTATTTCCCCAACTTTTTCTTAGTATTATATAAATCATATGTTTGTTCTAAGTAAATTTATGTATATTTATCGACACACATTACTCAGTTAAATTAAATTATTAATTATATATTTCGGGACCAAATTTTGTCATAATTTCCATTAATGTTTATACCTATTATTGCATTAATGCATTTATTTGAGTTTTAATCACAAATAAATAGATAAATAAATCACAGTATTTTCATAAGTTTTTGTGATACTCATGATTTTCCTTAAATATCCATTGAGATTCTATAAATAAAAATTGTTGTGAAATTAAAATTATATATAATATGACGTGTGAAATAATTATATGGTTTAATTATTATAGAAAAAAAAACTGCTGTGTGAGGCTGTGATCCAACGGGAAAATGGTGGAAATGAAAGGACCGCAGATTTATATTTAGATTTGTTTTTATTTTTAATTCTGAAAAATAATAATTGGAGGTTTGGGGAGGAAAAGAGGATCCGTAGATTGAATTTCTAACATCATGAAACACGACGATTTTATATTGAAAGGAAACGACGGAAGATTTATAGATATCAATGGTTCATATTATTTTTCTTTAATATGGTGAATTATTATTTTTATTTGGATGTAAGAACCGTTTGGAATTGGGTGTCTATTTAATCATGTTCGTAGCTCGATACGAGGTTAACGAATGTAGTCTAAAAATATAAGTGGTCTATCCCAATGCAGATGATACGAGGAGAATTAATATTATGAGGTTAAAACCCTTAAAATAATAAATTTGAATAGATTTTTGATCAGAGTTATTAAGATTAGCACGATTTTAAGTTATTTTCAATTAATAACATGTTTTTTTATTTGATTTTTTCAATATTTGATTGTATATTCCAATATATTATTTTCCTCTGAAAAATATATATAATAACAAATTTGAGTTTCAGAAAACGTGGACAGTGGAGCAATTGTTTAATTATATATTATAATTTATAACAAAATTGGAATGAGAAGGGGAAACCAGAATGTGGGGGAGTTAACCATGGTTAAAACTTACAACTATGTTGTTAGGTGGGTTTGACTGGTCGGGTTTGGTAGGCGTTGGTTCGTTCACGCGCTTCTTTGCCCACCCAATATAAACACATCCTTCCCCTATTACCCTCCCTCTCTCAACGCAACCGCACAGCAACCACTAACGCCACCGCCTTTCTCCTCCGCCGTTGTGCAGCGGAGTTCCCGCATATTTCTTACTGCTGCTATTCACATTTCCAGTTCGTATAGCTTCTTAAATTAATAACCGGATTCCGGTGGTTTTATTTTTCTTTGGCTACTCGGCCGTATCCTCTCTGCGCCACCGGATTCCAGTCAGGTGTTTAGCTGATTTGTTTCGGATTTGACCATGCAATCGGAATCCAGTTCTATGAAGGCTTCTCCATTCGAGTTCATGTCGGCCATAATTAAGGGCAGGATGGACCCGTCTAATTCTTCATTCCAATCGACTGCCGAGGGTGCCTCGGTTATGTTCGAGAACCGCGAGCTGGTGGCGATCTTAACCACATCGATCGCCGTCATGATTGGCTGCTTCGTTGTTCTCGTGTGGCGAAGATCCGGAAATCGGAAAGTTAAGACCGTGGAGCTTCCTAAGCCGTTGATTACGAAGGGGGTGGAGCCCGAAGTTGAAGACGGCAAGAAGAAGGTTACAATATTCTTCGGTACACAGACAGGCACTGCCGAAGGCTTTGCAAAGGTTTGCATTCCAAAACACTCGAAGGCGTTGAGAATTTTTGTTAACTCGGCTGTTTGTTAATAATTTTTGGCTGTTGCTTACGGGTGACCGCGATGGTTCTCAGGCTCTATCTGACGAGGCGAAAGCACGGT